AGAGAGAGAGAGAGAGAGAGAGAGAGAGACGTCACACAGCCTAACACATCATCACAAAACCCAACAAGCAATCTGACCTGTATCGCTTGTAGGAGCTTTCGATCTTCCTCTTCTTCTTTTCTCTCTTTTGCAGCTTGTTTTCTCTCATCTCTTTCCCGAGCTCTCTATAGGAAAACAACAAAAGTTAGTTTAAAAAAAACAAAACAAAACATAAATTACAGGAAAATGTCAACTCATCCACAAGCATGCTGGTCTAGTATTCACTTTATATTTAACTCCTCTTATCAGCCATAACTCTAATATTCTCCGAAGCTGCACCTCTGTTTTTTTTACTTATGTTTGTGGTAAAAGTATTACACTATCAGACAGCGGTAGGACTTTAAAAACAATATCTTATCAGTAGTTGGATTTTACCAGAATTAAATCAATGAACCTTCATATTTAGGCTTGTAAAAGGGAGTTACCACCCAAACCCAAAGCATACTTAACTATAGATTTGAGAAAGGTAATCTCAAGATCCACATATCTGCAGTAAATATAGAGAGCTTGAAAAATAGGCATTTTGAAAAAAACTGCAATAAAATAGGACATAATATAGTCCACTCATCATTTTCAGTATGATAAAAACTGGAGTGAAGTAGCACATTTTTGTATTAAAAAACCCATAAATACTCAGCAAATATGGTCACATAAAAAAATTGCACATTTTGAAACCCCAAAAAGAGTAAACAATTAATTTATCATTAAGATAACTAACCAAATATGTATCACCTGACAAAATTTTAATCTCACAAGTCCGATGAAAATATGAAAAAAAAAGACGTAAAGAATGGGAAAACAGTATGAAATTAAAAAGCAAACTTTTACTTTTTCAACAAAAAAAAAAAAAAAAAAAAAAAAAAAAAAAAAGAAAATGTCCTTAATCAGTCCTTTACAAGAAATGATTTCTCAGTGCATAACATAGACAGAAAAGAACAACACAGAAAATATCCCTTTACCATTCCTTTATCAGCTTTGACCCTGAGTTCAAGCACTGTCGGGTTCTCTGGTTCAACCTGGAAGAATTGAGACAGAAAGGGGAGCTTTATCTCTTGTTTCTTTGTTTGTTTTAGTAGAGGTTTTACGGCGCTCGCAACTGCATGGTCATATGAGCGCCAGAAGATTGGAAAGAAGAAGCAAACCACACAAGAGCACCCGCCAACCACCCACGCTTTATCTCTACGGTGTACAAAATGAATCAAACAAACAAGACAGGAACATAACTGCATGAAGTAATGAATAGGCTAAATTTCAGGAATCCTTAGTATCTCTCTCATGACTATTTACAGATAGCTCATTAATTAGATGAAAAACTATTAAAATAATAATAATAAATAGCATTTGTACAGCGCATATCCCCGCTCAACAGCGGCTCCATGTGCTTTATCAAAATAGTTTCACTCATTTTGATTTAATGACTAATTTTGTGATGTATATGTCATTTTTAGATTTTGTACCGAAAAAGGGCCCCTCGCAGAAGAAGAATTAATATCCATTTCAACACTGTTATGATAGTCACAAGATGGTGCCTCTGGCTTTAAGTCAGTTTCTGCAAGAATAATGCTAAGCAGGTCGTGACTCATGAAAACCTCTAAAACATTTTTAGTTAAAAAACATCAATTTAGAGATTTGAACCAAGTCATTCATGTTCTGTTCCTGCATTATCCATATCAAACTAACGGTTCCTACACTTTTTCCTGTCTACAACACAGGCAAGAACAAACAAAAAGTGGTAATATTTTGAAAAGCCACCTCTGCATACAAGTTCTCTTGAAGACGAAGTGAGATTATGAACAGAGAGTGGGTATGAAGTACTCACTGCTCAAAAAAACCCAACCCAATTAAACATACAGCAGGCCACTATATGAAGAACTGTACCCTCGATAACAGAAGGTAACAGAATTTTAAAAAACTTTTAAGCAGAAGTTGACCTACAATGAGCACCGAAGTTAAGCTACATGGGCACAAAAGTGGATCGACATAAGCGAAAAAGCTACCTACCATGAGTGCAGCATCACAAAATCGAACAGCATCTGCAAATTTATTCATCTGAAAGCAGCACTGAGCACCTGGTCACAAGAGGGTTAAAACATGATATATTAAAATACAGCTTGAGCAATTAACAGCCTCCACTTATTGCATTAGAAAACCACACAAAGGAAAAGAGCAAACAAAATTAGAACAAAGAGATGAAAAATAAATAAAAACTTCTCTCTTTTAAAAGCTCACCAAGAGGATAACACTTAACTATTACTCAGATAATTTAGAAGTAATCACAGCCTATTCAAAAAAAAAAAATGAAGGCAGTCTTAGAAACAGTATGTCAACCAAATGTGCTTATATGAGACGCATTTTATTTAACGTTCTTAAACTGTATGGCATAGTTTTGGAACCACATACATGCTGATAAATTTTGACATATTTAAGAGGAAACAGTTTTGTCACAAAGGGTTCATATCTTCATTTCTGCTTAACAGAAAGGTTCACATCTTCACTATTGCCACAAAAGAGAAAAGACAGATAAGAGATAATAATTTTTGTCTCAAACCTCTTATGATAGCCTTGAAGTGATCAGGCTTGAACTTGCGAGCAAATAAGCAGTCATTGAAGGAAGATCTGTGATTGCCTGAAAAAAGAATGTTTTTTTAACTAGATAACATGAAGAAAACAGGAAACTGCAAGCATCTCTGCCAGTAGTAATCAAAATAATAATTATAAAACCAACACTTTGCATTTGGGGTGGCTAGAAGAAAGTCTGTAGACTATCGGTATATAAGAAAAGAGAAAATATAACACATTGACTTATATCCATATCAAAGACAGAGTTTACCTTTTTTTGTTTCATAACAAGAAGCAAACTTAAAAAATTGTACATAGAAAAAGTTTTTGCTTCTAAAAAATGGTCATACTACAAAAAGCTACCATTTGATCTTACCAAATGGACTGACACTTAAAGTGCGGTAAAAAATTCGAGGTGCAATTTTTTGTCAATTATCTCCTCAACTATCGAACAAAGGTTTTCCAATTTTCGCACAATTATTTGTCCCAATTTGTCTTAACAGATCAACATTTTTGTACACACCTGCTAGCTGTATTCTAGAAAATTCCTTCATAAATACTAATAAAAAATTCAAGAGGGTGGTTTCTACAGATTTTTAAATGTTTACAGCTGAGGCAATATTGCTTTTAATAGCAAGTCCGTCATATTTTTCTAATCGGGACATTATGCTTATTGAACGCATGTTTTGAGAACCATTAGTTTAATAAAAATGCATTCACTATAAAATGTATTTCTTGTAACAAGTTTTGCCACTAAAAACTGTCATTGATGAGTTGTGACATAAGCCATATGCGTAATTGAAATGTGTGTGAGAAGAGGGAAGTGCTGTGAACAATCCCATTTTACATGTGACAGAGATTTCAAGTATTTTATATAAATTTATGAAGAAGAGTATTTTAATCTAGCCCCAATTGTTCTTGAAAAATACGATTTAGTTAAGACAAATTGATACTAACTATTGTGCAAAGTATGGATGACACTGATTTACCCGTTAAAGAGACATTTGAGGATAAGTTGCGCTACAAATTTTTGACCGCACTATAATATATTCACAGATGTTTGCACCTGGATCAAAATGGGGTCGTAGCTCTTCTTCTTCTTCAATTGTCAGATCAGAAACAAACATCCGTGATCATAGCTCCCTCCAAGCTATTTTATTGCTTGGGTGCTCTAAAAAAAACAACCTCTATGTTGCACTAGTGTTTTCTATCACCCATCTTTTCCAATTCTCCAAGTAAGCTATTCTTTATCTACCTTCGCTCACACACCTAAGTGAAACTGTGCGGCAGCCCTGTTGGTATACAGAACAGCATTCAACTCTGCGTCGGGACTTTTGCTCTTGATGCCCTCCGTGTAGTTGTCAATGGCAATTTGGTACTTTTTCAGCTTGAACTGTTCATTTCCGTCTTCACGGTAACTGTCGGCTCGAGCTGGAAAAAAAACCTCATCATTGTTTATTTACTTATTTCTTTTAAAACCAGATGTCTATTTATTGACTTCTTTATTGTGTGAAAGACCCCCCCCCCAAAAAAACCCATTAACAAACCCAAAACAAACAACAACAACAAACCCAGATGTTTATTTATTTACACGATAGCACACCATTACAATGGAAGCTGTGGGCTCAACCTGGAAGAAAACCCAAACATTTGTTCTCTGACCTGTTGCAGGTAAAGATATGTACGTTGACACTACAATGATTATTCAAAGCTTTCAACAAGTGAGATAAAAATGGAACAGAGGAGCAGAAAAAAGTAGACCCTTCCACTACATCCAGTGCTGTCTGTTAACATGCCATCAGAATGGTTAAAGATAAGAATAAAACAAGATAAATCCTTATTGTCCAGACGGTACTAACACCCCCCCCCTCACAGACACACACACAGGATGATTGTAATATCACTGCATATAATTTTTTTCAGCAGGTCATCACCCCGAGTTGATTACACTTTTTATGGGATGTCCCAGCAGTAAAACCCATAGGCGCAGGACTCAAAGGGTGAACGAAACACGAAACCAATGCTTGAGTTACCTGTTGGATCTTCACACTCATACTTGAGCTGCATCAAGCCCTCAACTTCCGGGGGAAGGGGTTTGCTCCAATCGATGTCCTTCATGAAGGCCGGGTGACTCTTCAACTCCTGTGGGAATCAAAGACCATATCAATGTGTTAGCGCACTTAATAATTTTTTCTCTGATCCAGCAGCCATCTGAGTATGAGCCCTTCGGCCTGAAGCCTCAACCAATTCTTCTTCCTCACTGGGCATTTTCTGCTTTACTGTCAGTCCAGAACTGTGTTTTTAAATGGATATTAGTCGTTTCTGTTTTTAAATGAATAAGATGAATATCTGGAATAATTTTCTTTAGTCAGAACACGTTTTATGTTACTGTTGTATGATGTACTGTATGGTAAAGCGCTCAGAGCCTGTGTACTTTATTCTGGGTTGAGCACTATATATATGTCATTTATTATTAATAGGTATTGACCTGGTTTCTTTGATTCTGTAATTTTGTTGACCACCTGATTTCACTACTATGTCACACCAATATTTTCACTGAAAAAAAAAAGCAATAAGTAAATGAAATAAAAAGCCCCACTTGGTCCAATTCTATTTACTGGGGAATGCAAGGAAATTATCATAGGGACAGGGACGCAATTGGCTATCTGATAATATTTAAACTATAAAAAAAATAGAAGGGCCTGAGTTAAATTCAGTTCATGCATAATAACTGTCTATTACTTCTTTTATCTGTCTTGAAGACACCACCCCCAACCATCCCATTCTTTTTCAAACACACATTGTGCGGTGCCCTGTAAGCCGTTGATATGTGACTCCTCCAGTTGAGTACTCACATTTGCATAATATATAACATATAGGACAGAGAAATGGGAAAGAAAAACAAAAAGCAAGGAAAGCAGAGAGGTAGATTTTTATAGGTAAGTATTTTACAGGGCTGGCAACTGCAACGGGTCATATGAGCCCGTGGAACATTTTAAACATTTTCAGTTTGGTAGGAATTAGAATTTTGATTGGGTGGCGGCTGAACTTACTCTTATTGATTTTGGACTACCAAAGGGGTGTGGCTGAAAGACAGAAGTAACAAGGAGCCAAGGGGTAACAGTAGTAGAAAGACTACAGAAAGAGACAGAAGCCCAGAGGAGGGGCAAACGAAGTGAGAGGGTGAGGGCATAAAGTGGAGATGAAAGCAGACGACAGAACATTGTTAGAGAGTAGGAAAGGAGGTGAAAGGAGAACACTTTTAGAAGAAAGTTTTCTGTCGCGGTCAGGATTCCAACCTGGGACCTATTGAAAAAAAGCAAACACCATAACCTCTTGAACACGAGAGCCCCCAGAGATATAGTACATGGAGAACTTCAAAAGACATGGGGAAGGGAGAAAAGCCAGGAATAAAATAGTTCTTTTTGCAATATTTCAGTTTCCGGCACAAAATCTGAGTGGCTAGCTTGATATTTAAGCCAGTTTCCCAATAAGATCTAGCACGTATAGAGTGAAAGAACAGCAAAAAACCTCAGCGATCTCATCAATGGTGCGTGTGTCCTCTGGTTCTGTAGCTTTTCTATTTCTTGCTGCTATTGATCTCTCAGCCACAAAATCCTCTAGGTCCGCAGTCAACCTCTCCACGAGCTCCTTACGCTCCTCATCACTCATTGCCTTTTTTGACTTCGGCATTTTGAAACTGAACACACTATTGCTCAATCAAATCTGCAATATAAAAAAAACACGCTGTGAAAATGAAAAATAGAAAATGGCACACTTCAAATTTCATGTTAATTGAGAACTGATGCAAAAATGTCAAATACATTATATTGTAGGGACAATTATCAACACGACTTATCGTAGGTCGCCGTAGAGAGGTACATTTTCAAAGGTACTCCCTTTGTTGTATTGTGCATGCCCCCATACAGCAAGTGGAACAGACCATATCTGGGACTACATACCCAGTGTGGTCCTGTCTCTTTTGTTTACGAGCCACCATATTGGATACCAAATTGAAACGGCGAATCACAAGAGATCTTGGATTGGGGTGGGTGGTTTAGCCGAGGAGCCAAAATCCAAACCAAAAACAATTTAGATAGAATTTCAATATAATCTAAAATGACATCTGATCTTAATGATATAAACTATATCACTATGGTGCTGGATACCATTTTGACAAGTGGTCAATGAACTTGTTAAAGGCACTTGTCGGGTCCTTTCCATATATATATATCTCTCCACATGAACTCATCTAGAAGTGTGCATCAAGTATCGAGTTGTTCACACCATGCATGCATTTGAAATGTCTCTTTGGTTTTTTTCAGTAACCTTCGATTCGGTCAGTGCATGCACCTGTCACTGGGTCCATGAATTTCTGACCGTGAATTATGGTCAGATGTTTCATATGGCGGGTTCACTGGTAGCAAAGCCACCACTGTGTATTTATATCGAACCAGATGCTATTCAGTTTTGAATGATTGTCAAAAGAGTTGCTGCTGCGGTTCTGTTACAAGGAACAATCTCTGAAAACCCTTTATTCGTTGCCTTATCCACTCCCCCAAAGACCCACATCGCTGTTCCACTGTCCTCCCCACGTTATTTTTTTCTCCAAGCTATTAAACTTTGATCAATTTCTACTTCGTGACCTGGACCACCTATATTTTTTACTAACCACCATGAACAAAATCTCGAAAATAGGCAAATCTGGTCATCTCAAGCCCTTGTGCCAATAACTTTCATGTGATCTAAACATGCTCTCCGGTATAAAAAATGGCAGGCTCGTAGGCCTAAACCTAAACAAAAGAGATGGGACCGCACTGGGTAGGCCTAAAGAGTCCACCCATATTCCTTTTGGACAGTCTCAAATTAACCAATCTGAATGAGTCATATAAAAGGTCATTCGGAGGGGATTTTGGGGGGGGGCTGGGGGGGAAGGGGAGGGGTTGAGGGGCATAGTGTTTTGCAATAAGGTTTGATACTTTCAACTTTCTTGAAAATAATTGAATTGCAACCAAGGAGGTTATACAGTAATGGAGGATCCTCTGTGGGCGGCACCACACGCCTGATAGGAGCCCTCTCTCGCAGGGGAACTTTGATCTACCTGCGCTGCGCGCTGCCCGACACAGGCACTGAAATCTAGATATAAGAAAGAACGTTTTATTCCGAGGTCCTTGAGATTTAAGCAAGATTAAATATACATATTATACATTTTAATATATATCATAGATATAAACCACTACTCCCTATTCACTAGATACCGATACCGCGCGACCGCGAACCAGCCCTCTTCTCTCCCTTTGTGCTGAGCGAGTGAGGGCTGCGGGACAAATTGAATCGGTCGTCCGCCATTTTTGTTTGGGCTGGCTCAGCGCTCATCAGTCTAACAAGAGAGAATAATAAACTAAAGGCCAGATAGATTGTGCCCCTTCTGCTGTAAGCTGAGAAAACGCCTTTTTTTCATTTTGGCACGAACAATTGTTATTTGCTAATTTGCTAGTCTGACCTGTTAACCTACTCGTGCGCTAGTATAAATTTGAATAAATTAACATTCAAAATTCGGAAGACCGCCTTTTTAAAATTATGGTTACGCTGACAAAACGCCTTTTTTAAAGAGTTCATTGACAGAACTCCCCCCCCCCCCCCCCCCCCAGCTTCAGAGAATAGGCGTTCTGTCAGCAAACTCCGTAGGAAAACACTGACAGAACACTTTTTTAAATTGTCTTTTTCAAACACAGTGGTTCTCGGATTCTCGTCTTGGTCTTGGGTATGATCTCCCCCCCCCCCCTCTTTCCCCCAAACACACATAACACAAACAAACATAAACAGACACACACTCAGACACAAAAAGACACAGACATGCTCATACAGACATAAATTCTCATAGACTCACACAGACACACACTCTCAAAGACACACACTCACACGCAGACAGACACATACACACAGAGCCCCCCTGGCAGTCTAGCCATACTTATCTTAGGACCTATTAACATTAGAAAACAGGAGGTTTAAAATACATGCACTGTCATTAAGGCACCTGGTTTCGTCTCAAATACATATACTTTAGGTACTGCACACTAAAAATGTATTTACAAATCAGTAGGCCTATTTTTTGTAAATGGTCAGTCTAGCCATCATATTAAGAATTTATAAGTACGGCTAGACTGCCAGTCTAGCCGTCATTAAGTACGGCTAGCCTCTTCCATACAAAAAAGGCACAAAAATATTACTGGCTAATGTGGTAGGGTTCACTAATTCTACATGACAAGGCCACTTTTGTCCTTAACAATCACTTCATTTTCTATGAGTAAACAAACGGGAAGGCAATTTCCAAAGAGCCCCGATCGATCTTTGTCCCACAGTTGCCACACAGAGAAATGTTTCTTTGTTCAACTAGTTTTGTTTTTCGGATAACGTAGTGTCTATGTAGCCTACACGGTAACCGGGCACCTGGTCTCAGTGTATCTACGTACATGGTAACCGGGCACCTAGTCTCAGTATCCGGTGTTTATTTTTCTCGAAAACACCCGAAAACACTGGGAAACACAAGGAATCACTCGAAATCCCTTTGATAATTTGTGAATTTGGCAAAGTGTCTCTTGTTATTATTGCTCGTGGGTATTCCCTGTATCTCCGGGTATCCGCCCATCTCAGTCATGTCACGCCATTTGGAAATGCTATCCTCGACCGGACAAGAAATACTGAGATTCTAGCATCAAAGTGTGTACAGACCCGGTAACCGGGAACAAACTCTTTTGTGATTTCGGAAAGTTTCAGCGCCCAGACCCGCTAGTGTGTGTGTGTGTGTGTGTGTGTTTGTGTTTACGTGACAGAGAGAGAGAGAGAGAGAGAGAGAGAGGGAGAGAGAGAGAAAGAGAGAGAAAGAGAGAGAGAGAGAGAGAGAGAGAGAGAGAGAGAGAGAGAGAGAGAGAGAGAGAGAGAGGTGCTAGCAAAATGTATATATGACATGCCCCAGTTGGCAGGAGGGAACGAGAGAAAGATAGAGTGGGAAATAGGTGGGGAGAAAGAAAGACAGAGACAAGCAAAGAAAAAGAGAAGGCGAGCGATACAGAGAGGAGAGAGAGAGAGAGAGAGAGAGAGAGAGAGGGTGACTGCTCGATTGAAATTATGACATTGTTCTTTTCTTCAAATTGTGATTCCTCTGACTCCAAAACGGAGGAAAAACAATCGTACATCGAAAAGGCATCCGCAATCTTCATTTAGATCTAGATCTAGATCTAGGCTAGCCTCGAAACTAGATCAATGATTTATGTCTGTCTGTGTAGATCTAGATCTAGGCCATAGATCTAGAAGAACCTAGGTCTACCCTGAGCCAAGAGGGCGCTGAAACTTTCCGAAATCACAAAAGAGTTCCCCTACCGGGTCTGTTTGTTTGTAAGTGACTTTGTTCCCTGTTACCGGGTCTGTTTTCACTATACACTCCCTTCTACTTCTAGCATAGCCTAATCTTTGATTCTAGGCTGCCTTCTGATACTAAAATGACGATTAAATCCAAAAGTACAAAGGTGATTTCGGGTGATTCCTAGTGTTTTCGAGTGTTTCCTAGCGTTTTAGAGAAAAATAAACACCCTCAGTATCTATGTACACGGTAACCGGAATGAAAATAAATCAATATAATTTGTCCTGTGCTGTCACTTGCTGAAAAAAGAGTCATACAAAAGCGTTTTGTCCGTCTCGCCATCGTGACCGGTCAGTGAACCTGTGCGGGCTCATCACTTTGTGAGTACCGGTTGAGGTCACCAAAGCTCATTCAAGTCTGTGCGCAGCGAAGTATAGGGCTCCGGAATGGGGGTATAATTGATTTTTTTTAAAGGTACAGTCGGGAGAGGGGTGGGGATGAAGTCAACCCCGGATAAACTTGGAGTTCTGGACAGACCGGTTACCGTATAGGTGACGACACTGAGACTATGTGCCCGGTTGCCAGTTACCATGCACGTACACTGAGACTAGGTGACTAGGAGGGGCCCGGCGTGTACGTAGACACTCCTTTCGGATAATGATAGATCTAGTTGGGGGCTTGATTTTTTATATTATAACTATTTTAGAATAATCGACAATAAAGTAGATCTAATAAGAAAACAACTTGTTTAACAAGTCACAAAAGTCAAAGTGACTTGCAGATATTCACTTGGCTGACTTGGCCTGGCCCTGGCCTGACTGTCTCATACTCATGTTTTAGTAACTAAAACACACACACACACACACAAAATGTGACAAAATGGTTTCCTACAGCGATTAAAAATTATCAGCAATTGATTCTGTTTCTGATCTCTGTAAATCTTCAAAACCGGGTAAATAAATCTAGCAGTAAGTGTCCAATCTGTCCATGCAGTCTCAGAATGGAGAGAAAGTAGAAGCTAAGAAGACAGAAAAGAAACCGGAAGTTGTTACTTGTAACGGAAGTGATAACGGCTTACAGAACATTTTCGTGTAAATAGATTTTGCTCCTAAATCTTTTAGAAAAACAATGTTAAAATATGTTTGATTGAAAAATGAAAAAGTTGTATATTATGTATTCTCATTTTTCAATAATCAATGAAGAGGTAGATTTTAAATAAGATATATAAAATCTATTTAATTCAACAGTAGTCGTGTACAATGCGCAGTAATAAATAGTCAGATGAATAGCAGCACCTGGAATCTAAAATGGCGGCGCCTTCTGTGTTTTTGTTGATGGTGAGCGGACAAATCGAGTCTGCTGAGGTAAGTAAGCCACTTCTAATGATTTATCAGGCTTGGTGAATGCTTGCGACAAGTGCTTTCAATTTTTGTTTTAGTTGATGTTTGAAATACGACTTTGTTCTGATGTACTGCTGTAAAAGGTGCGGTTGTCAAGTGTAAACATGTTTCACTTCGTTCTCATTTGTTCCCATGAATCATGATTGTCATGATTCTGTTCTAGACTCTCACTATAGATCTATACTAATCTAGATCTAGATTCTAGATTTCCAATATGGGAGGACTTCCGTAACGAGTGACCACTATGAGACAGAGCAGAATTGAGGGCTTGGGGTAGGGGTAAGGGTAGGGTTAGGGTTAGAGGGGTAGGGTTTGGGGTACATGCGATTAAAAGTAGAAAGACGCACCTATTTTTAGGTAAGGCGCCCATCTTGTTTGACGTCAGACCAGGATACCCCTCCGACCACGTGACTACATCTAAATATAGACATGTAATATGATGCTTAATCTACACCTTTCTCTCGGAAGTTCTGATAGCTGATTTGATAGCGCGTCTGCATTTGACGTTGTGCAATGACCTTTGGAGCGGTTCGATTCTGGTCCCGGACAGTTTTTTTCTTCTCTTTTCCTCCTCCCGACTGACCAACAGTTCCATAAATTATAGGCCTAATTTGTAGAGTTGCTTTGAAGTTGGTTTTTTAAAAGGCCGTCGTTATTCGGACTAGAGTCCGAATAACATTTTTTCATATCAACAGTTCCATAAATTATAGGCCTAATTTGTAGAGTTGCTTTGAAGTTGGTTTTTTAAAAGGCCGTCGTTATTCGGACTCGGGTCCGGAAAAAAGGAAGTGTCTTCGTTCTATAGATCTAACGTTCAGTGCTTCCAATTTTCCGCCATTTTTTTGTTTTCCCCACACCTTATCTGCCGATCCAATGCCCGCCGCCTCATTGATACGCCTCCCCCCCACCCCCCCACGTTTCCCACTTTCATTGTTGTAGAAAAAGGTAAAATTGAAGATTAGCAGACCACCTGGCATATTATGAGCTGTGTAAAAAAAAGACCGATTCGTTCAAATACACAAGCCTGTGTCATATCGATTGTTTACCAAGAAAAAGTTGTGTTGCTGTGTAGAGCTGAGCATACGGCAACTTTTGATTCCATAGACCAGCGCACAATTCATTACGTATTCATTACGTAGATCTACGTCAAGACTAGCTTATTATTGTAATAATGATAAGTTGCCAGGGGGAAAAAGACCGACGCTTATGCGACGTTCAAAGCCCGGACTGATAGTGCCCGCCACCACCCTCCCCGACACGCACACAGCCACACGTGTGCAGGCCGCCCATCCGACCCCGACACATGCTAACGAGCCATCTTTAATTGCTTCTGATGACCTCTTGATAAATAAACATTTATTAGAAGCGCTATAACTTTTCAGGCCGGCCTCAAATTCATCGTAAGATTAAAACTCGGCTCCTGCACAAAACGCCTTTTTGCCCGAAGTGATCCTGGTCTCTACCCAGCCTGAGGCGAGTCACGAGTGAGGCAGGACAGGAATCCGGATTCACGAGTCACAAGAAGTCTGAAGTGATGTCATGCTGGACAAGAATCAGAGTTCGAATAACATTTGTTCATATTCGGACTCGAGTCCGAATAATCACTTCGTTTTTAAAATGTATTATAAGTGATTAAAAATGCAGGAGAGGGGGGAGTGGTAGATCTAAATTTAGATATTAGATCTAGTCCTCCTGCGTCTTTACGGCAATTTTCGTGCAGTCTTCCATCATGTCCAAGTAGGCCTACTAGGTCTAGAATCTAGATCTAATCTAATATCTAGATTCTAGATCTAGTCTAGATCTAGGAAGGAAGAGGCTAGCCGTACTTAATGACGGCTAGACTACCGTACTTATTCTTAATATGATGGCTAGACTGACCATTTACAAAAAACAGGCCTACTGAATTGTAAATATACATTTTTAGTGTGCAGTACCTAAAGTATTTGTATTTGAGACGAAACCAGATGCCTTTATGATAGTGCATGTATTTTAAACCTTCTGTTTTCTAATGTTAATTAATAGGGCCTAAGATAAGTACGGCTAGACTGACAGTCTAGTTAAGTACGGCTAGACTTCTTGTCTAGCTGTACTTAAGTACGGGTAGACAGCCAGGCTAGCTGTACTTAAGGACGGCTAGACTAAATAATAATAATAATAATAGATAGCATTTGTATAGCGCATATCCCCGCTCAACAGCAGGCTCTATGCGCTTTACACTATATTATTACCCCAGCAGACCATAGAACGCTCCGAAACATTCTCAGCTTCCCGGGAAGCATACAGTGCAAGCAGCTGATTAAGCGCTCAAACACTAACAAACTGACAAGATCTTTCGCTGTCTATAGCCGGGTACCCATTCCCACCTGGGTGAAGTGAGGAAAACTCGTGTAAAGTGCCTTTCCCAAGGACACAACGTCGGGTCCCTGACAGGATTCGAACCCACGACCTTACGGTTGCGAGTCCGAGAGCCTAACCACTAGGCCACCGACGCCACAGGCTAGCCGTACTTAATATTGGTGGCTGAATTGTAAATGAAATTTTTAGTTTGCAATGCCTAAAGTATTTGTATTTCAGACAAAACCAAAAGGTGCCTTACTGACTTGCATGTATTTGAACCTGAATAAATACTAGATCTAGATCTAATGAGAACTGTGTACTTAACAGGCTTGAGTCGATACGGCCAAACCTAGATCTAAGTACGGCTAGACTTCGATCTAGGAAATCCGAAGCGTAACCGAAAACACGTCGTTCCATGTGGGTATCCCAGGAAGTGATGACATCACATTACTAAAATTAGCAGCCAATCAGAAAGATGCATCTTTTCTACGTTTAACGGCATATGTTTGGGGTAGGGTTAGGGTTAGGTCTAGGCCTCTTCTTTATTGTGTTTGATGGGGTGGTCGCTCGTTACGTAAATCCTTCCTAAAATATAATGTCTTTGGGGGTACTACTTAAGAATGTGGGTCCCGTTTGGGGATACTAGTTTTGACCCCACCAACGATTACTTCTGGTTCTAAACTACTCTATGACTTTTTGTTGATGCGCGAGCCGGTATGGAGAGGTTCAAGTTGCCTATGAAACCTTAATTGCAAAGCATCAAATTATTGTCAAATTCAGGGGGGGCCCCCTGAAACCCCCATGTTTTTGTTACCACCCTTACCTTGTAAAAATAATATTGATACCAACTATTTTTAATTCCTTTGCCCCCTCCTCTGGGCTCCTGACTCTTTCTGCAGCCTTTCTACTGCTACTCCTTGGCTCCTTCTTACTGCTCTCTTTCAGCCACACCCCTGATCTTTTGGTAGGAAATATCTACACCTAGCTTTCTCGGAGAAGGGCGAAAAATCTCTAAGGTCGCAGGTGCAAGTTGTATTAATCTGTTAAAGATCCCTTGGTGGTCCAAAATTGATAGGAGTAGTCTTCGGCTGCTACCCGCACAAAAATTCAAAATTTCCTACCAACTGAAAATATTTAATGTCACCCGCTCGCTCATATGCCCTTATGCTTTTGCGAGCGCCGTAAAACACTTCCCCGAAAAAATATTTAAAAATAAAGAACTTCTGTCTTCTCTGGGGAACCATAAAAGAAAGTCCTTTAAAATTGTAATGAAGTAGCCTATAGAAATGAGATATAAGTGAGGTAACCAGTAAGCATCGAAGCAGAGGGAGCTGGGAGTCCTCTGTTTAAATTCTGATATATATATATATATATATATTGGAGAACAAATTTTATATTTAAACATTGCGATCTCTTGGGAACCATGTAAGTTGAAAATTTGAATTGTTGCTTATCACTGATCTGTCTACGACGAATTTCAAAAGGAAGTAAACGAGCCAACATGTTACCATCCTAATCAAAGTTTGGGAAGCAAGCAAAAAATGATTACAGCTAACATTCTTTTTTTCTGATCATGATATATTGATGCAGATATATATTTTTGTTTTGTGTGTTCATTTTCTGGAAAATTATTTTTTCTTTCAGTTTCCAGAGTTCGATGACATCTACTGCAAATACTGCTTTTCATATGGCCTGGACTGGGCAATTACGTCGGTGAGAAGCTTTTTATTTTGTCTTACGTAAGGATTCACTGTGCAGACAGTGACTGGGTTGAAAAAATCAGGCATTATTCGAGTCCATATAGAAACTAGTTGTTTTAAAATATGTTTGCCCACATAAATTTATAAATCATTGGGTTTCACTTCTCTACCTTTCAAAATTTTTGTAAGGAATATGAAAGACTTCAAGCTTTTTCCAGGTTATTTATACCTAGCATTTGTTTCATAGTTTCTGTAAGAATACTATTTGAAAACTTATGAAGACAAAAACTGTGCTTTTTGCTAATATTTTTTATGTTCCTCTCTCACAGGGTCTAGATGAAAGTATTACACAAATTACAAAAAAGAGCAGAGACAAACATCAGCGATTTGTTTGGAACTTTCCAATTGATGCCACTTTCAAGAGCACCAGTCCTTCAGGCTGTAAGTTCCCTTATTATTACAATAATGATGGGAGGTTCTGCAGTTGTAGTAGTAAATTCATCTATGGAGTCGAGTGAAATTTTAATGCCGTGGAATTAGGACAAAGAGGAGCATGTGTCTCTCCAAAGACAACAAGATAACATAATGGTTATTTCCAAAGTATTTCTATGAAGTGGTTGAAAAGAATGAGAGATGGGAAAGGAGTTGGTGAGAAAAGGGGATGGTATTTGGTTGGTGACTGGAGTAAATTAATGCTAGAGTAGTATATAAATAACTTTTTTACTCATTGAATGAGTGTTATTTCTTTTCCTCAATGGTGTCTCTGAATGTGTCTGCGCCTGAGCGTGCATTAGGCAGGGAGATTTTCCTCCATATTCACTCTTCTGACTTTTTGCAAAATGTACCTCTGTTGTTTTTTGTCCATCTGCCTAGCTCTCTGTGAAAGTTATGTTGTTCATGAGATTCTCATCATTTGAAATGAAATACATGTAAGGCTACTATTTGATTATTTCTCTTTTAGAAAAAAATTGATTATACCTGAATGTTATAGTAGGTGGGATAATTCAATTAGACATTGTGTCATCAATTCAGTTGAATGTGTTTTATTTTTCAATTCAACTGGAATTGTTCTACTTGTCTTTTAGGGCCTCAGCTAGTTGTCTACGCATATGGACTTGATGCATTCGGCACTGATGTTGTCCGTGGTTATGGAGTGTGTCACGTACCCATCACACCAGGAAGGTAAGCACATAATGTACTTCGCATATTTTCTTTTTACTAGATTAGACTCTTACTCGTGGTACATGGAGGCTGTGTTTTGATTCCCAAGTGGCAGAGTTCTGTGAGAAGTATATCTGTCAGTCTAGTAGGTGGTTGGTGGCTAAAATGCACCTGAACATGGATGGCTCATGCCTCTATAAATAGATTATTGATGGTCTAGGTTGTTGGTGGGTACCTCGGTGTGATTTGCTCCTTCTTTCTTTCAAATATATATCATCTTTATATCTTCTTTTTTCTTTTTGTTTTGTTTTGATACTCTCTTATAACACCTCAAATTTTCGTCACTTAAATGACCCTATTGCATTGCAAGTGCATAAAACTCTTGCACAAACAAAGAAATGCCTGTCTGTCTACTTGGAAACTGTATCCTATTCTGCCTAGGGTTTACCACAAAATTTGAAACTTTAGATGTTACCTACATTTGTCAGATCTTTGTGGCTATTTCTGCATATTTTTCCTCTCTCTTTTTGTTCATAATTCTGTAACAGCTGGAAGTGTGTCTCAAAATTTGTTTTTATTGTCAAAATTGAAAACGTTTTTGTGAATAAAATATTAAATGTTATGACTTTAATAAGTTATTTTTACTCGTCTTAAAAATTAAGGTTTTGAGCCTTAAATGGAGAGAGAGAGCGAGAGAGAGAGAGAGAGAGAGAGAGAGAGAGAGAGAGAGAGAGAGAGAGTATCATTAT